GTGGCGGGTGGGCAGACAAACGACACACAACAACAAAGCACACTAGGTGAAAAGCATGAGGTAGACGGATGGGCAAACAAATAGGGTAAGGCAGCCAAGGAAACAACAACCAGACAAACAACGACAATGTAACAACAACACCCGAAAAAAATACAAGTATAAACCAGGCAAAGACTAAAAAAAATAAATAAGCAGATGATGAAAGATTGTTTCGTCGGAGTTGCACCGACTCATCAGGAGGCTGAACCCTCGACAATCTGCGGAATCCCCGTATTTGATGGTTTGGGTCATGAACCCTTTGACCCTTGTTGAAGGCAGACTGTCCCCAAGAGGAACATAGCAGCGGGCAGCAACCCTGTGAAGCACCAGGCAACACAGTAGAGGCAACACGGCTGCACAACGCCAAAAACGACTGCAGGGAATAACACGGCAGCCGAACTCACAACAGGGCACCCAAGCAGTGAAGCACGAGGCAACACTACCAAGACAACCACATTGCAAGGGACGAGAGGACAAGCGAACCAACAGCAGAGCGACCATGCTAAGGAGCACAAGGCAACCCCAACACGGTAACCGAACTACAGGGCGCTCAAGCAAAGGACCTGGAAGGCACGACCAGCGGGCGGGCGGACAGGCAACGAAGCAGCGAAGCACAAGGCAACACCACAACCCAGCCACACCACACAGCGAAGACAGCAGCATGCCAAGAACAACCTGCGAGGCAAGCGGAACGGGCAGCAAGGCAGTGGTAGAGCGCAGACGGGGTCGTCCACACATCCAACACGGAGCAAAGCAGCACATCTCCTACTCACATCACGGGTGAACTCCACAGACTGTTGGTTCCCACCACCCACTGAGCCAAGAAGACACTTCGACGAGCATCCGTCATCACCTACAGGCAACACAAACATCCTGAACCGAGCCCCCCACTATGAGTGCAGCTGGCACTCCAAACGAGGAACCACCGACAGTTTGGCACTACCTAAGGGTGCTTAGACGGGCACACAAAAAAACTTAGAAAAAATCAGAAAGAGGACAAACAACAAAAGAAAAGAATGACAGACATAAAACTGATTCTGTGTGTGTGTGTGTGTGTGTGTGTGTGTGTGCGCTGCACTGCACCTTCGTCCGAGTGCGGGATTGTCATGTGTGAGTGTGTGTGTGTGAGTGTGTGTGTGTGAGTGTGTGTGTGTGTGTGTGTGTGTGGGCGCGTGCTGGGTGGCGGGGGGGTGGGGCGACCCCTCCCCCACCACTCAATCAATCAATCAACAAAAAAAAAAAAAAGCAAAATCGAATGAATCTTCCGCTAGAACATGGAAATATACAATACCTTGTGTGTGTGTGTGTGTGTGTGGGCCTGTTGGGGGTGGGGGGGCGACCCCGCCCCCACCAGTCAATCAATCAATCAATCAATCAATCAACGAAAAAAGAAAAAAGCAAAATCGAATGAATCTTTCGCTAGAACATGGAAATATACAATCCTACCTGTGTGTGTGTGTGTGTGTGTGTGTGCGCCTGTGGGGCCAATCAATCAATCAATCAATCAATCAATCAATCAATCAATCAATCAATCAATCAACGAAAAAAAAAAAAAAAAAGTGCTTTTTTTTTTTTTTTTCCCGAAATACCTTCACTCGCCCAACCCCCCCCAACCAAAAATTAGTTTTTTTTTTTTTTTTTGTTTTGTTTGAGGGGGTGGGGCTGGGGTTGCGCCGCCCCATGGCGGTTCCCAAATCCCAAGCCCCCCTCCCCACTGGCCGCCATGCGGCCGCAAAGTTGCACGACCGCGTGGACACGTCCGCGGGGTCGCGGCCTAGGCCGTGGCTGCAGACTTGTCCGCGGATGGCCGTCGCTGAGGGGGATTCGTAGCCCAACCCCCGTGTTCAGAGTGCCTGCAAGACCACGATTACCGAGCCTCCGAGGCTCCGACTTCATCCGGCTCCGACTTCATCCGGCGCACTCGCTCGGAGGAAGAAGGACGGGCGCACAACCTTCGGCTGAGGCCGACCACGTTGAATTCCGAGACCTGCGATGTAAGACGTCGACAGGTGATCAGCCAGCGAGATAGCCATAGCGTCCCGGCGGTACACCAGATACGAGTTCGACCCAGACAACGGAACCAACGAAGGCGGTAGCTCCGCCCTCCGAAGCATAAAACAAGACTTCGACCCGCGCCTACCCTCTTGCCTTCATATCCCTGAAACTTGTCACAGGAGATCTTAGTTTCGACTTAGGATTCCGCCCACACTTTCCGAAAACCCTTGGCACACCCCCTTTTCGCACTCCCAGGCCCACTCCCACTCCGATCAGGAAGTCACGCCGCGCGTGAGGTTGGTATCGGAGTCGGCACGTGGCAAGCTTAGGAACGACGAAGAGAGTAAGTTGCGAAGAGCGATCTGGCGAACAAAGGACGACCTAGGTAGAGGAACGCTCCACGACGCGACCCTATAGTAAGTTAGTAACTAGGAGTAGGTCGGCAGATCAAGGCGGCCAATATGAACGCCCACCCGACACCAAATGCTAGCGGGGCTCTGGCCCCTCGAGTTCTCGCACCTGCGGCCCCGCCCGATCTGTGCCTTTTCGATCCCGCACATCATCTGGCCGGAGCATGGCTAGCCACACTGTGTGCGCAGCAATACGACAATGACGAAGCTAGGATCAACATCCCCGCCCGGTTGGGAGGGGATGCACACCATTGGTTCAACACTTACGCGTGGGTAGATCTCCCGACCTTTGAGAGGGACTTCTTACACTGATTCGATTTGTATCCATCATGAACAGACCTTCTTTATGATTAAAGATCGAGTTCAGAAGCCCCTCAAACCCGTCACTGAATATTGAAGTAGGTTTTATAGGTTGTTCGTTAAGTCAGAGTGAGGCGAGGAGGTAGGAAGGGATTTGTTTATCGGTGGGCTTCGCAGCCGTGCAATTAGGGCGAAATTGCGAAAGCAGTTCTCCCCCATCAATCATACCATGCAGCAGATCATGGATGCTGCTGAAGAGATGGAGAGAAAGTTTGTCGCTAGCTTCCTAGAAGGAGAAGACCACGCTAAGGAAGCGGATTCCTCATAATTGGCTAGGGGGAAGGCCGAGTTAGCTGCACCACAAAACAAATTTGAGAACATGGGCTTCGTCTATGGCCGCGTCACCTATCTAGAGAAGGTTGGAGTTAAGAGGTCGATACCGGACACAACCACATGACTGCCTATGATGGTCACACCTACACCTCCCCCTGATACCTCTTCGAAGCCAAGCGAATCAAATACAATACTGGAATTAACTCGAACGCTAGTTAGCTTGATGCAAGAAAGCAGGAAAGAACAGCATGAGCATAATGCCCAAATAGAATCCTTGATGAGGTCGATGCGCCCCGTCGCTGTTAGAGCTGCACGCATGGCACAGGGAGCAGCCCCTGTCCAAACTGTGGGCAGTGCGGCGGCTAATCTAGGCATATGTTACACGTGTCACCAACCCGGCCATATAGCCCGAGATCGTCCCAACCGTTCGACGCAAGTCCAGGTGGGAGCAACCCCTGTGGCAGCAACACCTGTGGCCAACGGACCAGGGAGGGTGGGCACAATGGTGGAAGAAGTGGAGGGAGGAGGGAGTGCGATAGTCACTACCGAGGAAGTTGAGGAACTTATCTCGCTCGATCAATACATCTCCCTGGGTTACCCAGGATTGGGAATGATCGGAACTATCTGCCCCGCGAACGAACAACGTGAAATAACGGAGTGGAGACCGTCTCCTGGAGAAATGGAGTCGGGTGGTCCTGCCTTTGTTACGGGAGAGATTGATGTCCTGAACATCATCCGAGCCCTGGACCACCAAATTCCCCTGCCCATTGGACACATGCTATCCACATCGGAACAGGCGAATGAACGAATGTTGCAGCATTGCAAGGCGAACCGGAAACGGTTTGCTCTTGCTAAGCAAGCGGCCATCGAAGGGAAGACCCCCATCCAAGAAGACAAGCCCGATGGCCCCAACACCTCGGATCAGATACAGTTAAGACTAATCCGAAAAGACGACAATTTTCTGCGCATTAAGGCCATTCTGTAAAAATTAGTGAAATGCGATATAGAAGTCTGGGGAATTCCGTACAATGCTATTGTCAACTCAAGGGCCGCGGTCCTAGCGATCTCTCTGAGGGTCGTGGAACGGGCAGGAAGAAGAAAAATCTGATCCCGCTAGCGGAAGGAGATCACCTTGTCTCCGTTGACGAAGAAAAATTCAAGGTGGTAGGAAGGATGACAAATGTCGCATTTCGTAGTATTGGACGTAAACAGCCTTACCTACTCCTTTGTGGTGGATGCTGCGCCCGGACCTGGACCCTGGGTCGGTGGGTCATTGGTGGCTGGTTTGCGGTGCAACTGAGGGCCCTTGTGCGGGTTGGGATTGTATGGGAAAGACCTTGGCACTCGGCGGACGACCACGATGGGACGTAGTCAGGCACGAGTTTTCGAGGATGCCGGGGAGGATGAGAACCGCAAGGCACAAAAGAAGTGATGCATCTACAAGTACATCCGCGTGGGTCAGAATCTCGACGAGAGGTTCCGTGGGAATCACATGTTGAAGTGCCTATTTTGCGGCCATGAGTTCCAGGGCAACCAGTACGTGGCGGGGCGCCATTTCAAGCAGAGGAAGGGATGTCAGACAGTGACCGGCGAGGCGCTTGTGGACATACATTACAACACCGACTACAAGCTGGACGGGAAGATCCTTGAGCGGATGCTTCGGTTTGAGGAGCTTCACGATCCCGCGCCTGCGATGGATCCACGCAGGGACGAGGGAGGGTTGGGAGAGATGAGGGATGACGAGGACGTGGTCGACGTGGACAATGTCGTGGAGGAGGGTGCCCGGGCGGGGCCGTCAGGCCCGGTCAGGGACGGAGCGAGGGAAGGGCGTTGTGAGTGAGCCGGGGGGGCAGCAAGGCCAATACTTTAAGGATGCACACGTGTCGGCTCGCACACAGGTGCATGTGGGTGCGGACGAGGCGGGACCGTCTACGGGGAAGAGAAAGGATAGAGAGGAGGGTCGAGGCCGGGAGCACAGAAGAGGTTGAGACAAAATACGATCATGGAGTCATACTCGTCACAATGGAAGATGAAGTTCAAGAAGAGGTTCTTGAGGTTTGTCTACAGTCAGTGTCTGCCGTTCAATGTCTTCCGGAGCGAGCCGTGGAAGGACCTTGTCCGACACTTCAAGGACTTGCTGGGGCCAGTGAAGGTTTTGTGGCCTTCGGAGAATGAGATTGCTGACATTGAGATAGTTGTCCGCACGGCGGACGATGTGGCAGCTGATCTCGCGGAGGTCAATGCTCCTTTCTATGTCATGGGGAATACCATCATGTCGGACGGCAGGAAGTCACGCGATGCTAGACCCATCGTTAACTTTCTTGTCGGCGGATCACGTGGGGTGATGATGGTCCAGACGATGAATAGGGAGGGTGAGCGAGACCGAGCGCCTGATGTTTTGGTGCGCTTGATCAAGGTGTTCGACGACTTCCCTCCTAGGTGGGTGAACGCAATCTGCACCGACTCTGCCTCGGCTTACGTCGTCGCGGCGAACATGCTCCAAAGGCTTGAGTAGATGCCAGAGCATGGGCGAATCACGTTATCGGACAAAATACCCTTACAAGGGTATTTTGCCATGTCTTTGCATTCGGCACGATGACGACGTCAGCTACCATGACGTAGCCTGTCTGGAAACAAGAGGGGTGTGCACGCTTGGCGTGACACTGGGAGCAAAATTCCTCGGCCACTGAGGCCGGGGCAAAAATCGGTGAGAAAATTTTGGTAAGTGTGTGCGCGCGTTACTATAACGCGCGCCGTGGTGATTAGGATCGGTAGTAATGCCCCTCGACGGAAGAGGTCGAAGGGTCAGTTGGACTGATGATTGTGTCAGGTAGGACTATGACACGCACTGAGACTTGGTCCGGTGCCTGTCTTCCTTCTAGTACTGGGGGTTCTGAAAATTTCGGTTTTTGTCTTTCCCTACTCGGCCTCCGAGTCAAGTACTCGTTGCATCTACCTCTACTTAGTGAGGTACCGACCTACCTGCTACTTGAGTGTTTTCGGCTACTCTAAGATGTCGTGGGCTTCTTTTCCTGCCATTTGAGTGTTTTCCCGGCCACGACCCTCGATGTCACGGTTATAGGTAAGTACCGGTCTGCTGGGCCTCCCAAGCAGCCAAGTACCCTTGCAGGCCACACACACACACACATATTCAAACCGACAGGCGTGCGGACCGGCACGCATACACACACACAAACTTCGAAATAGGCTCATGCCGCTAGTTGGGCTGAGCCGGAGCTCTATAAATACCAGAGCGGCTCCTTTACTTTTCGAAGTGGGAGCTAGCTCAGTAGGTATTGGTGCAAAGCTATCATGCGATAGACCCGGGGATCGAATCTGCCCAACCACCAAAACTAGTTCCCTTTTACGAGGAGCTTTATTTTAGTCTTCAATCGGTTGAGTTAGTGGGGGCTCGAACCCGCGACCTAAAAATCCGAGTTAGGTAGGTTCACTAGATTACAGTTAGCCCCGTTTGAAAACAAGGCATGCCACTTGGCAAGGCAAGGTGGTTAGTGGATAGATTCTTTTGTTTTCTTTGATTTCTTTTCTTTTGTGTTTATTAGTTAGATTTCGTTTTCCATTTATTAGTTTTCTTTCTTTCGAATTTCGTCCGTGATCTTCTTGGTGGATTCGTTTTTACGAATCTACCACGGAAAACAGGGCGGATGCAGTTGGTAACACAGCCAACGAACTGGCCAAGATCGTGAGTGACGGGGGGCCTGGACATCGACGCCATGTGCTCACGGAGCTCGAAAACCGGGGGCACAACCTGGACACATCGGGAGAGTAGGAAAAAAAGCGAGAATCACGTGGAGAGGTAGCGCGAGGAAGAAGCACGTGCAGTCAGACAAGCGCGACGACAAGTAGAAGAAGGAGAAGGTGGAGGAGGAGAGAGTAGGAGAAGGAAGAGAAAGGAAGGGGATTCAACGCGACGGGAGAGAATTATCGATCTTGAACGAGGAATGCCTAGTAAACGCGAGTCATCAGCTCGCGTTGATTACGTCCCTGCGCTTTGTATACACCGCCGTCGCTCCTACGATTGGGATCCGGTGAGGTGTCTGGACTGCGGTGATCTCGGCAGTTTGTTCGCCAAGGGTGCTTTGAAAAGTTCATCAAAACCTTATCACGAAGAGGGGAAAGAGGAAGAAGAAGAGGAAGGGGAGAGAGAAGAAGGAGAAGGGATAAAGGAGGAGGATAATACTTACCTGAGCGAGGTGCGGCAATGACGATGACGGCGACGCTGACTACAACGAGGACGACGATGAAGCGGGAGATTGAGAACGGGTAAGTTTCCAATCTCGCGACCAATCGCCGATGCTTCCCTCGGTTGGATGAATACTACCACGCTACCTATGTGAGTATGTGTAGGTGAGTATCGATGGAGATGTGGGTGTGTGCTCGTACGTGTGCGCGAATGCGTGACGATCACGCTACGACCCGACTACTTCTGCCAATGGGATGGGCAGAATCCAATGAATCTACCGGTAGGACAAGGAAGTGTGCATTACTGCACTTACATGTGTGTGTGAGTGTGTGTGTGCGTGAGTGCGTGCGTGAGAAGTGTGTGTGTGTGTGTGTGTGTGAGGGAGAGGAAGAGAGAGAGAAAGAGAGATGGTTCTTCTTCTTCCTCTTCTAAGTCCATCTCTCTCTCACCCTCTCGCCGCCTGACTTCTCAGTATCAACAGACTACGACAGAGAGAGAGAGATTCCTGACCATCATCGTAGCCGTCATGAAAAGACCAATATGACTGTATCTGACTATAGGGGTAGCTAGAATGCATTTATTATGACTTACTTATTACTAATATTGTTATTATTATATTGCTATTTCTACTATTATTTATTATTGTTTATTTTATATACATATATATTTTATTTATTAATATGGATAGACTGTTGTAATTACCGGTCCTTAACGAGAAAATGCCTAGTAGGCACGAGTCATCAGCTCGCGCTGATTACGTCCGTGCCCTTTGTACACGCCGTCGTCACTCCTACCGATTGAATAGTCCAATGAAGTGTTTGGATCACATTAATCTAGGTGGTTGCCGCTGGGGGTGATGTGAAGGATCATTGAACCTTATCATTTAGAGGGAGAAGAGGGAAATAGCGGGGGAAGCAAAGAAAGGGGAAGAAGAAGAARAAAAAGAAAAAGAAGGAGAGGATGAGAAAAGGGTGAAGAGGGAGACTTACCCGATCAACTTGGTGACGGTCGACTCCCACGCCATGCCTTCGACATGAGGCGCAACGCGGCAGATCGTGTTGGAGAGAAGGGGAGTAACTAGTCGACCGGGCGAAGACGACGACGGGGAGAAGAGAAAGGAAAGGGGTAAGTTTCTTACCCCACGACTAGCCTAACGCTACCCCATCGATAGCGTGATTAAATAAATAATTAAATAGATAAATAAATAAATAAATAAAAAATGTATGTAACACTACAACGTGGGACTGTACATCACACGTGTGTGTGCGTGCGTGCGAGTATACATGAGTGTATGTGCGAGAAAGAGAGAAAGTATCGCAAGGGAGAAGAGAGAATGCGGCGGAGAAGAAGACGATTGTGAAATAGAGGGATGAAAAAAGGGGCGCGAGCATGAGTCTCAAGGTCTGATGAGGGAGGCGGGATACGTACCTTGCGCGTGAGGAGAAGGTCAACCGTCGGGTTGACATCATGTACGTTGATCTTCCAGGATCGAAGCGAGCCTGTCAAGTGAATACGGCTGAATTGTAGGATAGTCGAGTAGAATAGGCCGGGGCATTGGKCATTAGCCAGAAACGAGCAAGGATCGACGAATCTACCGCTAGAATAGTGATACATGCATCATCATGGATATGCGTGTGTATCCGGGTGTGAGTGAGAGTGTGTGTAATCCTACCTCGATGCAACCTTGCGCCACCTCCGATGATGCGCCGAGCAAAATCGATCGAATCTCCAGCTGCAGCATGGGAATAGACACCGTCGCTCGGGCTCGCCTGCTGTCACGCCATCGTCCTGACTCGTCAGCAAGATGGCCACCCGTGCACTCGTATGTATATGTGTGTGTGTGGATGTGTGAAAGCCTACAGGTTTCCTACCAGCAGCTCGCCGCAAGATACTTGGATCAGTAGAATGAGCAAATCAAGAAGTGACAGTGTACGTTTCCACGTTTCGGCGGAAGATTCATTCCGTTTTTGCTCATCCTATCGATGGAATGTGTGTGTATGTGAGAGAGGGAGAGAGAATTCTTCTTCTTCCTCCTCTCAGTCCACGATCTTCTTCTCCCCCCTCTCAAACATCTGACTTCACGGCATCTGCAGACTACGAGAGAAGGGGGAGAGTTGTGACTCGGGACTTAACAACATAGGATCCGGGCATGACATGGGAGTCAGACATTCGACGAGGGATTATCTGGGACTTGTAGCGAAGACTTGGTGATTAACGACATTCCCATCTCCCCCCTCCTTTCGTCTGACCCCTCCTCTTCGTCTGTGTATGGCGGGACCGGCGCATCTTCCTGTGTGAGCGCCAGGCCCCTTCACACCACGGAAACGATGATGATGTACGACGGGGCTGTATTGCGGTGCTGATTGATCGGATCATTGGTAACTAAGTCTTCGCTACGCTACCTCATACTGTGCATGAGAGGTCGGTTCTTGTTCTGGTCTGCACCTTTACTGTATGCAGCACGCGTACACGTAGTAAGAGAGAAGAGAGACTGAGAAAGGGAGGAGAGATCAAGTAAGAAGAGAGATTGAAAAGGGGAGGAGAGAGAAAAAAGGAGAGAGAGGAGAGAAGGAGAGAAGGAGAGATGGAGACACGTGGCATCTGTGTGTGGGGCCGAGGTTGTGAGTGATAAGAGAGACATACCTGGTGATCGAGGCAGAAAGACGGCGGCCGACATATGCTCGTACTTCGGGAATGCTGTTGATGTCATCTTTCGGCTTCGTAGTATAGGCTAGATGGGATCTGCCACGTGTAGTCTGGGCGCTGAGCACCAGATAGGATGATCAACGCTAGTTCTTCGATGATGATGGTGGGACTATTTGAGCGATGTCAATTATGAACTCATGTGTGTGTGTGTGTGTGTGTGTGTGTGTGTGTGTGTGTGTATGTGTGTATGTATGTGTGTGGGTGCGTATGTGAGTAGGTGTACATGGATCGGGCGGCGAGCTTCGTGCTACTTGCATCAATGGGAGTTAAACCGAATGAATCTCCCACTACAATACGGAAAATGTACATTTGCGCCGGATAATATCGCTCCTTCGCCGCTGCTCGCCCGTCGTCAGGCTTTCGATCCCGCTCGCCCGTGGAATGTCAGTCGTGTGGGTGTGTGTATGTGAGTGAGAGAGACAGAGTTCTTCTTCTTCCTCTTCATAGTCCACCATCTCTTCTTCACCCTCTCCCTACCTGACTTCTCAGTATCTGC